TAATATAACTGCCAGCCGAACGAGTGGTTCGGTACTCTGGTTTCCCTTCAAATCACGTATAAATCTTTCGCCTTTTACTAAAGATTTCCGTGGAGGGGAACAATTGATGAGTCTGTAAACTAATTTTTTGTCGTACCCAACGTATGTTGGGTCATTTGTAATTGAAAAACATAACAATTTTTGCAGGAAATTGAACGATGGTAAATGCAAAGATATTCTCTCAACGGATAGACCGTTGTTAAAAATTTTCTTGCAGATCGTCTTTGAAAATGCGTTTGTAAAATGCAGGAATATGTATGTTTGAACGTTCAAAATATTATCATTAAGTATGAAATACCTGCAATTCACTTCTCAAGTTTTTGTGAAAGGAGTTATTCTTAGTATTTATGTAACAGGAGATGTTACATGAAGATGAAGTGATGGGTCGAGTAAAATTTTGTAGATGACAAAATTGTTCAGTATTTTGTTATATATTTCAGCAATTTTTAATAGTCGTAGCATTAATTAAAAAAAAATTGGGCTCGTCCGGGATTTGAACCCGGGACCTCTCGCACCCTAAGCGAGAATCATACCCCTAGACCAACGAGCCGACTTGAAAAATTTTTTTATGTTAATCATTACCAAGCTCTTGATTAAATAAATAAAGTGTAATCATTAACACGTTATTAAAAACAAGAAACATCAAGTCATCGTATTTTCAGAAAGTTTCACTTGTTTGGAAACAACGGAAAGTATGTGTACAGCTGCTGATTGATTATTGAGAAAATGAACAATTATACAACAGTATTGACAAAATGAAATAAGTTTTAGAAATTATTGTAACTTCATTTTCATACATTACTTTACGAGTATACCGTTTTAGTTCTACCTCAAGGTTATTATTCATTCGTACTACAACCGTGTCAAATTTATTTGTTATTAAATTAATTTATTTAAATTTAAATCACAATATATGCAATACAATTTATTCTAAGTAAATAAGTTAAAATCTTTCAAATAAATCATGATTTTCGTATGCAGTAGTAACTTGAAATTATAAGCACGTATATTTTTTAATTGCATTCGAGTAAATAAAAAATTAGAAATTCTGCGTGCAAAATGTCGTTGGTAATTTGGGCTATTGTTAATACAGTAATTTTTATCTGTGTGGAATAATTAGGGATCAGCCAGCGAGACCACGTTAATAGCTTTGTTAACAGCAAAGGAACAAACAACACGTCGTATGAAACATCTACACCCAGATTTGGATGAAGCTACCATCAAGAACAAATTAGTTGCATATGGATCTGGTATGTATCGTATAATGCAAAACTTGTTGTCCATTTTAATCTCTTAATTATTTTTCTAAATCTCCTTGTTTTAATCGGTATTATAAATTATAATTTAAGGTGATTTATAATCACGTCCATGATTTATAATAATTACATCTGTGCATATTAAATATATAAATTATTTAATTTCTAATATATCAATATTCTCAATATATTTAGCCTGCGATTGCTTTTCTACATCCTGTTTTTATAGGTTAAAATGTTATCTGTCGTCTAAACTATGTATTGTCGATAATATCATTATTTGACCAGAAGCCAAAAAGCTAATTACATGTATAAAATGGTTAAATAAATCGACATACGAAAGTTACCGTACGAAGGTATCATTTAAATAAGAAAATTCTACTCTCTAAGATCTACTCAAATTCGTAAATTCAAGTTTCATTGTTTTTATACGTTTTTTGAAATTTGCTCTACAGATCAATCGAACTCGTCTATAGAGAAAGGGGGAATATTGGCATCGATTCCTGTGAGACTTTTACCTACCGATGACAAATGTGTCTTACGTGGTGAAACGTTGCTGAAAGCGGTCAAAGAGGATTTAGAGAAAGGTTTAATACCGTGTTGCGTGATATCAACTTTGGGAACCACTGGTACATGTGCTTTCGATAAACTCGACGAATTGGGACCTATTTGTAAGGAATACAATATGTGGTTGCACGTCGACGCAGCTTACGCAGGTAAATCTATTCTTATAAGATATTATCTTTGTAGTAGCTGTGTTCGTATATTTTTCTTAAAATAAGGATACTATAGGGATATTGAAATTTTTTAATTTAAAATTTAAATTGACAAACACGTCGAATTACGACTAATTGCGAACGAATATATTGTTTTCTTTTCTTTTACAGGTGCTGCCTTCATTTGTCCCGAGTATCGATATTTAATGTCCGGCGTTGAATATAGTGATTCGTTTGTTGTGAACGCGCACAAGTGGATGTTAGTTAATTTCGACTGTTCTCTTTTTTGGTACGTATATACTTTTATTTCACGATATTAAGATCGAACGATAATTGGATAACAGAAAAGAATCGAAAATGATTTCAGGGTTAAAGATTCTAGGAAACTTATCGAGACGTTTAACGTAGAAAGAATTTACTTAGAACATAATAAAAAAGGACCAGTTCCAGATTACAGAGTACGTGCTTTTTCTTAAAAATATCGATTTACTTTATTCCGTTATATCGTAAAATGTCTTATGCTTCAAAGTTATTTTAGATTTGAACAAAAAGTTAATACGCTAATAATTATTTTTCAGCACTGGCAAATTTCTTTGGGTCGCCGTTTCCGCTCCTTAAAAATCTGGTTTGTACTTCGTATATACGGAAGCGAAGGAATCGAGCAATATATACGAAATATGATACAAATGGCGGAGATGTTTGAAAATTATGTTAAATCTGACGATAGATTTGAACTAGCGACAGAAAGGTCTATGTCTTTAGTCTGTTTCAGATTGAGGGTATGTACGACAAAATGAAGACGCTTGTATCGCACATTGACTTTCTTACAATTTGGTAACTGGTGGTACAAACGGAAAGGGGGTGATTCTACGTGAAAAAAGAAGTCGAAAATATAGAATAAACATTTTTCGTTCGGGGCTTTGTTTTCGAGAAAATCGATTTTGAATTTTCGCTCGGTACGCGTGCGGTACGTTATAACGCGAATCTCGCTGTAGGTCGCTGTCTCGATGGAAAAATAAAAAAAAAAAAGAAAAAAAAGAAAAAAATGCATTTTCAATTGAAAAGTTTGAAAAAAAATACTTTATGACGAATTTTGAATTTTCGCTCGGTACGCGGATTTTGAATTTTCGCTCGGTACGCGTGCGGTACGTTATAACGCGAATCTCGCTGTAGGTCGCTGTCTCGATGGAAAAATAAAAAAAAAAAAGAAAAAAAAGAAAAAAATGCATTTTCAATTGAAAAGTTTGAAAAAAAATACTTTATGACGAACTTAAAAAATATTTCTTATTTCAGGGTGATGATCGGTTGACAAAGGAACTTATCGATCGCCTAACAGAACGGAGGAAGCTTTATGTAATTGCTGCGACGCACCGTGGAAGATTAATCGTCCGATTTGTGGTAGGTTCCCGTATTTCTCGCGAAGAAGATATCACGTTTGCATGGAAGGAAATTACGAGTCAAGCGACAGAAATTTTGCAATCATTGACACCTGCTGTAGAGAGAGAGGTACATGAATCTTTCAAAAATTCGGCAGGCGATATCGTGTCGAGGATACAAAGTTTGAACATTGAATCAAAAACGCAAAAGATATCGTAGAGCTGTGCTGCATAATGTTACTTCAATGTGTTGCAAAAGGATTCTTTGACCAGAGACAACGTCAAGGAAGAATAAAAGAATCATTTTGTACGAAACTTGATTTTTAGTAAAATTACATGGTAGTATATGTATTTACAGATTTAGGCTGCTGAACAAAAAATATTCTTGTTCAAATAAATTAATGAGAGAATAGTACAAGATTTTTGAAAATTATATATCGCAGCTTGAAATAATTATTATTTGAGTGTTAGATCATATAAATATACCACAACAACAGAGATATTCTACGGTAATCGACTATACAAAAAAAATATAGGATATAATTTGTAATTTAATTTAAGCTTGAATTATATCGTAAGAATGTATCTCCGTCGACAATAAATATTTTAAGTCCATACGAACTATCTTTGATCCTTAATATTTATATTTTTGCGATAACGAAACGATCAACTTCGGTAAAAAAATTAAATTCCAAAAATTGGAATCTTCGTATCGTATTTCGAAATCCGTGCATGACTCTAACCTTCTCACGTGCCATGTACATTTATGTAGAAATACATAGCGGCACACGAGCTAGAGGACAAGCCAAAACATGTTGGCTGTTTTGCCTCGGAATATCAACATCGTTAGGACATTCATAATGTAATAATAAATAAACACCGAGCAAAAGAATCTCATCGCCACGTGCAACCGTCAAACGAAGACGAATTTGAATTTTTCGGTATTCCCTCGACCAGTATTAATAAAGCAGAAAAAAGAGGTCGAAAATATAGAATAAACATTTTTCGTTCGAGGCTTTGTTTTCGAGAAAATTGACTTTGAATTTTCGCTCGGTACGCGTGCACTTTATCGCGTCTCGTTATAACGGATCTCACTGTAGATCGTCGACTCGATGGAAAAATAAAAAAAAAAAATTAAAAAAAAAATCTGTTCTATATTTTCTTTTTTCGCGTAGAATCACCCCCCTTCCGCTTGTACCATCAGTTACCAACCACCCTGTATATTTACGCGAATAGCAAGAATTTTTTATCAAATGATAAGATACAATATTAAAGCAACTATATGAATAAATAAATAGATTTATATTTGCGCTAATATTACGTACGTACCTAGCTACAGCAAGTTGAATAGCTTAAAATAATTAAAATGCAAAAACGAATAAACAATGCTACGCATAAAAATATAGAAACTTTGCATATGAAAGTTTAAATACCTGCTACATCCTCTTTTCATTTCAACGATTTATCCCATTTATCCAATCAGATGTATGCGCTATGTAATTTATGACTTACGATTTCAGTGATCCGTTAGTTAAAATAATTCAATGACTAAGTAAAATCTTTATCATAGTTGGCTTTGATGAATATTCTCGACAGTAAAACATCATGACAACATAAGGATCGTTTGTTTGCGCGTGTGATATGCTCTCTTCATAGCAACGTTCGCCAATAAGGAACTCACCTTAATTATATCTAAATTTTTATCAAGATTAATTTTCATCGTCTTCATGAACAAATCCAGTGATTTCGCCGATTTATGTCCAATGAGATGCTACTTAAGAGGGCTAAATTATCGTTTCGAATATTCCGAACAATTCTAGTAAGGTAGATAAAGACATTCCTACGTATGTCACTTCACTTAACCGTGTGAAACTCGTGTCTTCGATTTCTTGATCATGTTCCGCGTATAATTTCTAACAAAAACAACGAGTAATTGATAAAATGTCTGTTTATTTCATTTGTCGTAAAGATACGTATGATTTTGTAGAAAAGTTTGTGCGAGGTTGGAATTCACGTTTAACAGCTCCATCTACTGTCTGTGTCAGATTAGACAGGGGATCTGATATTTAACTTAGAATGTCTTTCTTTCTCTGTATTTTTATCGATGCTTTTTAATCGTTAATTAAATCGAACGACAGTTATTAATTTTACACTGCAGGAAAATGGTCGGTAGATCGAAAGATACGACGGTGTTCTAACAATTTGTTTATGAAATCATCACTGACATATATCTTACGTACTTAGGAATAATTGTTAGGAAAAGAATTTAAGTAACAGACTTCTAGAAAGCAGTGAAATGTACCAACGTAAAATCAATTAATTTGTACGATCTATGCATATGTAGAAACTTTGCATCGAGCAAAGGAGGAAAAGAAAAAGATATACCACCATGTCCAAAACTAGCCAGATTCGAAACGTGTCAGTTGGACCCCTGTATGCTGGATCCATGCAAACCAGAACCAACGGTTGTTATCATCGGTGCAGGAATGGCTGGACTTTCAGCGGCGCATCGGTTGGCGCAATGTGGCCTTCAAAATTTCACGATATTAGAGGCGACGGATAGGTATTTAAAATATATTAAATTAATATAATTGCGCGAGAGTATTATCAAACACCTATAATTCTTATCTAAAATACAATTTTGTCGAATAAAGACATACGAGTTGACGTATTTCCATAGTTTCTCGCAAACCCTTTATTAATTTCACTTTTTTTATTTAGCAGTCAAACTCTGTAGCAAAAGATACTTTTACGCCTTCGAGATGTTTTTGATAGAAGCTTCGTTCAAATGATTAATTAACATTTTAAGATAAATCTCGAGTCACTGACTTCTAAATACCTCTGGATACTTGATTTTCATCGATACTTTTATTCGTCATTGAAAGAAACGAAAGATCAAAATTTCAAAGAAACGTTTAAAAACGAATTACTTGGTACCTATAACGAATCTTGTTTGTAGACCAGGAGGTCGAATTCATTCGTGTTGGTTGGGTGATGTGGTGGCCGAGATGGGTGCAACCTGGATCGAAGGAGGGTGCGTGGCGAATCCTGTATTCACGCTAGCTGCTCAAGAAGGTCTTCTGAAGCCACCGCTCTTCAGGCCTGATCCGAGTCGTGGTCTTTTTTGTACAAGCGATGGCCGCGCTATCGATCTTCCTGTCAGCATTACGGCTTATCATACGTTTCGGCAGATCGAGCAACAGGCGGCAACTCTTTTCTCTCTAGGTTGTGGCCGCACCCACGGAACGTTGCTGAATTTTATGGGCGTTCGAATTCAGCAGGAGCTGCACAATTTTCCGGAGGAGCAACGGTACAGTTGTCCAGGTCAACTGCAAACTTTATCAGCAGCGATGTAAAAGTAGTTGTGGTCTTTCAGTAATTATCAAACGTTATTTACAATAGTAAATATTCGTTAAGAAATGAAAGTAACGTTCGGCACAACACCATTTCATTAGAATATGTCGAATTAATTGCAAGCATCGACCTTTTAAATGCGAGCAATTCTTTCGACTCACGTACTCACTTGGCCGATTATTTCACGTTCATTTACGTTCGTATTTATACAAACGTGGCGCGCAAGATTCTCTAATTAATCAACGTTACGTTACATCACTGCGTTTTTAACGACACGTTATCGTCGATCGTTCTGCTTCGGTACCATCGGTGATCTCGCGATTTCAGATATGACGCGGCCAGGGTGATGTACGGGATGACAAACTGCGTGAGATGTCGCTGCGGAGATGATCTGTCGCTGGTTTCTGCAGATCAGTTTGGAAGTTATATCGAGATACCTGGTGGTAACGTGAGAGTGCCCCTTGGATACGTCGGAGTGCTTGCACCTCTGTTACGAGATTTGCCGAGTTGCGCTCTCAAGTTGGTTGAAACAAACATTGTCGTAAATGTCATTTTCGCAGGAGAAGTTTATTTCTTAAGCTGTGAAAATTACTCCGTCGTAAAAATTTCGAGGGAAATACTATCTTGGATTATTTATTTCTGAAGATAAAATCCTTGTAAAAATACTTTATTTATCTGATTCTCGTTATTTTTATCACACGATTCCGCGTCTTGGTGTATTTTCATATTGAAAAATATGACATTATTTTTGGAAATATTTATCGATCGATCGTTCCTGAATTTGATATTAAAACGCGTTAAGACAAGTTGTCGAAAATGTGATTGACAGAGCTCGAAATGCACTGAATTTCGAGCTCATTTTAATTGTTAATTTATTAGTCATTATTATTAGCGAGAGACGTCTATTTCGAAATTCATCTTATTAACTGTGAAACTCGATTTTCTTTGCGAATCTTCCGCAAGAGTGAAATTCGTAAACTCTCATCGTAAACATCTCTGTGACAAAATCTATTCATAACGTTTCCAGTACACAGATTAGTTTCTTTATAGTTCATTATTCACCCAAACTTACAAGTATTCGTTGATCAATATCAATTTACTGCTCTTATCAGAATACGTTGAATGCATTAAACCAGTCGTATAAAACCTATTTTATAGTTTTAAGATACACGAATGAACTTTTAAAGCCGATTTATTAGCAACGATATTATCAGTTGCTTCGCTATTAAAAAGCTATAGATTCTTCAAGATTAATATGTTGTTCATACTTGCAAAAATTTTACTATATTAATAGACATTCACAAATATCACGCAATAAACGTAAACGCTGTACATTTTTCAAAAATCGAAACCATCTTCCAAAGTACGAACTAATATTATTATTATTATTATTGTCAAAAAATGCTTGCAAGAATAACTTGCAATTTATCAATTTACTAATAGCATTATTAATCGGTAAACTACTGTGCAAGAGTGATACGTTTCAGGTGCCGAACTTACGTTTGTATGAAATTTATCTTTATATTAGATACTGCAAGCCAGTGAGTTGCATTAGATGGGGCGCCATAAGCGATTCGTGTCCTCGGGCGGTGGTGAAGTGTTGCGATGGCGAAGAATTTCCAGCCGATTACGTGATCGTCACAGTGTCCCTTGGTGTCTTGAAGCATCAACACGATAAACTTTTCTGTCCAGCGTTACCCGCGGAAAAAGTCGAAGCTATTTGCAAATTAGGATACGGATACGTAAATAAAATATTCCTGGAATATGCAAGGCCGTTCTGGGTTTGGAAGGAGGGAGGCATTAAACTGGCTTGGTCAGCTGATGAACTCGCTGACAGATGCGACTGGGTGAAAGGTACGCTAAGCTTGTTTTTCAACGTGCCACTGACAAGTTGTTTGGAAACTTGACGAGAATGTTATTCATTCATTGTGAAATTATGGCGAATCGAAAGCGAAACTTGAAACAGCAAAAAAATATACGATTAGTAAGTTTTACGTTTTCGACTATTATCTTTTGAATGAACTTGAATAAAGATGCAAATTATCCTTTGTAGTTTCAATTATTTTTCATAAATTTATAAAATCGCCGTATGCTTTAAAAAACATTCGGCGTATTTGCCGAATTCGTCATACTTTGGCCAATCCAGCCGAGAAAGTAATATTATTTATCGGTATAAAAGTAGGAGAGAAATATTTCCCATCGAAATAATATCAACATAGTAATTTAGAATTTACTAATTTTAGTCAAATCTATTTGTACCTTCATCGGTATCTTGCTTTTCAAGTATCTTTTCTATATAATCTATAAAATTCCATTCTTACTTTTTCTTCAATTTAAATTCAAATTGGAACTTGATTATTTCTAAGCCATTGGATAAACTACAGATTTATTATTATTATTATTATTTTAAATTTCTTTCTAAATAACCGATCGATACTTTGATATATCTTAGGGATCTCAATAGTGGAAGAATTATCGACTTCGCAACATGTTTTGTGTGCGTGGGTTTGTGGCCGAGAGGCGGCAGATATGGAATTGTGCTCCGACGAAGAGGTCGTGGAGTCGATAACAAGAGTTCTTCGACAATTTACCGGTGATCCTACACTTCCCTACCCAGCAAATCTTCTCCGAAGCAAATGGTGCATGGATCAATACTTTGCTGGTTCATGTAGTTATATGGGGATGAACAGTACTGTTGGTCATCAATGTGATTTAGCTAGTCCATTGCCAGGTACGTGAACACGTAATTTCTAGTCGTGAATATTTTTTAAAGTTAATTCATTCGAGAAACGTCTAAAGATTCCAAAATTATTCTCATTACGTTGAAATTAATTTAATTATAGCGGTTTTGACCACTATGAAGTCTGTTCTTATTTTGCACCCACGATGTATTTTTCCAACACTTACTTTACCGTTTTCTAGGTACCTGCGAGCCTATACCACCGATTCTTTTATTCGCTGGAGAAGCTACGATTCCAGGACATTACAGTACAGTACACGGCGCCAGATTGAGCGGTATTCGCGAAGCGGAAAGAATAATTCAATTAACGAAACGGTTTGGTGGTCCGCCAACGAAAACATCCGATAACAGCTGAGTTCGTATATAATTTCGTGCAAGTAAGAAGTTACCATAAATGGTATTCGTCATAGTAAACGTGCCCGTCTTCTGTCCAGGATGACACCGATCAACGCATTTCATTCAAATAAAATCTTTTATATTTGAAATTTGACGAAGCTAAGACATCGATGATTTTATATTATTTATGCAAAGCACGAAATGGAGAGTTGTGTTAAATTTTTTGAAAGATACGTTTAAACATTTTTCATTTGATAATTATATCTTTGGTTGTTGTAACGCATATTTCTGCTGTACCCTTATACCGCAAACTGTTAATCTTAATACAGAATATACGTTTTAGCATATTATTAAAATTAACGTTTCATTCACTTTCTTATAGTAAGATTTCAACTTTTCTGTCACAAGCACAGGAATACTGAATTCTTGTAACCTCTGCTACCCTGCTAGATCAGTGAAATCAAATGTTTTGCAATACAGTGCACTCTAATAAATATTACAATTCTTATATTAGTAAATGATCCTTGTCATTAATTATTTCTAATTATTTCTAATAGCCCTTTATCTTTGTCAATGGTTTTATTTTACTGGCAATACTTGTCAGCTTATTATTCCGGTGGCAAATAATATTCGAGCCTAGTGTCTCGAACATATCGTAAGAGTAAACGCAGAAGATTTATCTATGTACATGTAGATAGAATTAATTGTCATATGAATCGATGACAACATATAAAACAAGCATGCGAGACAACTATTGAGAAAGTCGTTTCTTGAGATAAATTGAAGAAGTCGAAGAACTTGGAGAAACTGAAGAAGGCGAGTTTGATTTTAGTAATTACATACATGTATAGTTTATTGAATCGGCATTGTTATAACGATGATATCTCGATAAATACTTTCAACATTTATGTATAGTATAGTACATTTATATATTTATTACAGTAAGTTGCGCGTCTCAAGAACGGAAATAAATGTTTGAAACAAACCTTTTACATATCGACGTAACAGGTACGTACGTACATATATTTTCTTTTATTACTTTCCGTTGGTCCCGTTTAACAGTAATTCGTGTTATCGCATCGAGAAAACGTTCTTATACTTCATGAGTGATAACAGTAATATTCACTTACATATATTCGTCTTTCAAAATTACGATTTATCCTTTTAATCGCATTTATTCCTCAAATACAAACATTTTGCAGATTTTACTATGTATTTTGAAATATATATCTATGAACAAAAATTAGGCAGTTTTTGATTGCCGTTATTACTTTTATAACATCGATCTATCGCTTGTGGTTAAACGTGTATAAAAGTAAATCTTATTACGTGCGTTGTATCAACCAGTGCATATGGAAGTGTTCAAAACTTCTTTCCATTATTTTTAAGAACGTTTGCTCGTTCGATAGACCAAACAGTGTAAAGTAATTCTAGATCTATTTATTGTCCCAGTTGCAGCACTACGTTATGTTCAGAATGCCATAATTATACTCGATGTTAGAACGAACATACAAATATCCGCAATCCAACGACGAACAATTAAAGTATAGCATACCTAAAATAAACTACAACGCTTAATTGTTAAACATAAATAAATAATGATCGTAATCGCTTAATAATTAATCCGTAATTATCTTCAAGAGATAAGTGTCGTGAAACATATTGGTACACCATTATATCTATTACAGTATTTACACACTAATTAATTAATACATTAAATCAATTCGAGTCGAAGTATATTAAATTTCGTATCATTTAATACTATCCTCGTATGAGTGCAAAAATTAATACATTAATACAATTAATACAATAGGTGCAACCTGATAAAAATACATTTTGCTCCTATTGTATATGTTTCATAAATATTATGCATAATTGTTGAATAATATAGATTTAATACTTCTTGAGATATGCTTCTTGCATTTATGCTAGAAATTCTGTAACTAGTTTTGCAGTTGTAAGGAATAATATATATAAACTTATTGAACGTTCTATTAAATAATTCGAGTATAATTATAAAGTAGTTCGAGTACGATTATGGCATGTAATTATCGGGGAATAGAGGTGATTTGCGTAGAAGAGACAAAGATATGTTACATAGATACGTACTGGATACTTATAACTATCGTATTGATAAATTATTTACAAAGTAAATATAGTACATATAATTTAATAATTAGTAGATCATATGCAAGAGTAATATATATCAGATCGACAGGATAGAACACAAACATATAATTTACACGTTCGTTTCAATAGCATAATCTTTAAATAATTTAATAAAATATAAAATTCTTTGTATATTTTATACAACTAAAATCAATATCAAATTCCGATACATAAATATTCTTGCCTGATGTCTAGTATACAGATCTACGATAATTACTTTACGTGACATTATCTGTCACGTACATGCTGGGGCATGAAATTATGTTTGTAAATAAATTAAACCATGTCTACGTAGTTGCATATTTTATACACTTGAAACATCCAACTCAATTTTCCATGACTTATTTGCTCAGGATATTTACCAAACATTTAATACACGCAACGTAGACGTTTCGAACATTTCACATTCATAATATTCACAAAACATCTTCAGATGCAGATAAATCGAAGAACATTGAATCGTAGAACATTGAACTGTTTTCTTTATCAACGAGGTAAAGGTGATCGTGATAATATTATTTCCTTTAAGGAATCAATCAACGTCGATAAGGTGAGCACGACTTAAATTCAACAACGTACGGAATAATTCCTATTTTATATTGCACTCGGTGTCGACGATCAAATTCTGTTGATCGTTTACTATCAAATGTTATAATTCCTAAGTAACTACACGCTTTAACTTAATACAGTAACTTTAACTTGATGTAACTTTGTAGCGGCACATGAGTTAGAGGACAATTTCAACCATGTTATTGTTTTGCCTCGGAGTATCAACATCGTTAGGACACACATAATGTAATAATAAATAAACTCCGCGCAAAACAATGTCGCCAGTCAATGTCGCGCCAAACAAGTGAGTCAGTCGTACGAATCAATATCAATTACCAGTTACTAGCCTTGACTGTTTCAATATCTCGTACCCTCGTCATCTAAACCAAACGACTAATCATCCTCCACACACACTTTAACTTAATACAATAACTTTAACTTCATACAACTTAATACAATCGTCGATGAAAACCAACAAGAAATAAGTTTTGCGAACTAGAATGTTTTAAATTACGTTAAGATATTTACTAGGCTTTTTTTAAATACTTGGCAGAAGTTCTGAATGTAACAGATATATTTGCAAGACGCTCCGGTGCCAGCAATTGCGCAACGCGTTGCTAAAGGTACATACGTATGTATACAGTGTCTTGCTGCTTGAAGAAAGCGATCTAATGTGCCTACACAACGCTATTGCTAAGGTATGCGTTCGAAAACTGGTACAAGGCGACATTTAATATTGCGCTTACAGCAAATTATGCGTTCACTGACGTGAAACGACAGTCGAATAACGATCTTTGGCGTGTTTCTTATATGGGACTTGTCTAATATATTTCGAGGTTATTAATATTATTGAAGGGGGCCTGTGTGTGTGAGTGCATGTGCGTGTAACGGCTTTGGCCGTCGGCAAGTCTTTACCGTGGCAAGAAAGCAAGAGAAAAAAATATCTGAGTCGACTTAGGCTCGGTGCAGACGAGCGATTTGCGGGAAATCGAAGTTTAGAAAATTGTATACATCAATTCTGAATTTCTTCTTACGCTCATCTTATATTCCAGATTTATGCTCCTATCTTTTTATTCGTTTGTATTTTTGCGCGTTTATATCTTTACACATTTACTTTTTTATACTTATATTTCTATAAGCCCAAGAAATTCTAACTTTCCTAGCACCGATAACTTTATGAAACCATTAAACACGTATTCCGTTGCTTAAGAAATTCCGTCTCCAACAACATACGTATGTATTCTTCTTTCGTAAAACCGAAGAGTTCCATTTCTCAGTCGTTCGAACAGTCCTGCAACTGTGTCGCGTGGTAAAATGTCTGCTCCGAGCCTAAATCTCGACGAGGAAGTTTCATTGTAGCGTGTAACTATCGTTACGTCGCGTCATTGTGCCGATCTGCGACAAACAGATGGATCGGCAAAACAGAGAATCGAGAAGTAAGAATCGAATCGCCGAAAGGAGAAAAACCGTGCGCGGAAGGTTTAACAGTCGTCCAGCGATAAAAACGTAAGCGAATACCGAGCTGTGTAACCGATCGTGTTAATTGATTAAAGATATGAAGGAAATATTTCCATCATTATCGTACGAATATATTATGCTAATGATCTTACTTCAATTTCTATCTGATTCGTGATTCGTAAAAGTTTAGCAATTATACGTGGAGTCGCGAAATACGTTAAACAAATCCCTGTTTCTCGATTATGCATTCGTTCTTGCAAGATCGCTAACACGAAAAACGATTAAAAGCTAGGATTGATTGCAGGTTGCAGGTGTCAAGGACCGACAACCACGAGCTATCTGAGCCCGCCATCACTTAGAAACCGATTGTTCCTCGAGAACCTCGTCTGCTCTCAGCTTTATCTCTTTCCAAGAGTTTTGAATATCTTTGCTTTCGCTGTACCGCGAGCAAACTGCGAACCGTAGGAAGTACATGTCGTTTATCTTGGATGGCACTAAATGAATGTTTCCGGCGCCGTTGATCTTTTTCAATAAGGTCTCGTTTATGTCATTCGATCCCTGCGAATGATATCACATATCGTTACAATGGTATATTTTACTTTTGAATATTTAATCGAGATTCTTTCGTTTGGTTCTTTTGCTTCGCAATGAAAATCTGGGGATTGTTACTGGCTTTTGTCGTTAATCAGAAAATTGTATTTCGAAATGATTTCTAAGACGATATTGTGTATTGATAAAATAGAGATAAAATTATTTTACGACATTGGACAATTTAATCGTGATACTAATAATATTTAAAATAAACCCAGATACGTATCCCTGATTTTCATTTTTACGATGTCCTTTTGGAATAATGGCGTTTTCCTATATTTAAGGAGTTTAAATTGCATTTTTGTTGCATATTATTCGTTTACTACTCTAATTAAAAGAACAACGATGAATCTGATGTGTATCATGTAGATAGAAACAACGTCGTATAATCGCGAACCGTAATAATTATCTGTCTATGATAGGTGTATCAGGATTAAATGTGACATTCGATAAAAATAGTATGATGGAAAGACTGCTCTTACCTTTAATCGGAAACAGACAAGTCCTAATATCACTTCGGCGACAATTTCGAATCGTGGATCCGAAAGAACCAGCGCTTCGAATTCATGAGCCTGGGCAACGTGGTTTCTGATATATCGTTGAAGATTTTCGACGCCATAAATCCTCAGCACGAACCAGAGTTTCAACGCTCTGAATCTTCGTCCCAATGGAATCTGCCAATGCTGTATAAAAGGTAAAATATTAATCTTCAAATATTAATAAATTCATTCTTCTTACAAAAATGAACGACGATTCTCAAATTTGATAAATATAGAAACGAGATACAATGTCAAGTCTTCTACCGTTGTTATATGACAACTTTATGATAGTATTTTTTCCTACTATGTATGAAGAAACTTGCTGAAAATTACAACGTGAGTTCGTGCTCGCCATCTATATGCGGATGCGTTAGTTATAAGAAATAGTAACTAGAAGATAATCCTAGTTACAATCGATAGATTTAATCGATAGGCTTAAGATGCTTTTTTGTTTTTATCCCTAGTTTTTCTAAGGTTATTTCGGCTCACAACGGTGTGATAGATTTATCCATTCAATAAAATAATAATTATCGTGATCCTACCTCTGAGTATAGAAATAACAACAAAACTTCTTACTTGCCTCCGTAATATTCGATAGATAATGATCTCTTATACGAACGAAAAAAGTTGTAGTTATCATCAACGAACTATCTTACCCTATAGTCAGGAGCAGAACCTTGCATATCGTGCTTCAGATACAGAGGATCCACATTGAAAGCATTGATAACGTATGTCGGATCTTTTAACCACATTGTCGAACAATCAAAATTCACCAACATCCATTTGTGTGGATTGAAATTGAAGGAATCTGCCAATTCGGTGCCTTTCATTAAATATCGGAATTCCGGGCAAATAAACGCTGAACCTAACGAAGAAAATAGTTCAGGTAATAAATTCTAACCTCGTAATATTTATTAGATATATTATATGTGTAATTGTTTAAAATACCAGCATAAGCTGCATCAACATGTAGCCAAACATTCTCACGATTTGCAACCACACCCATTTCATCGACACGATCGAATGCACAAGAGCAAGTGGTTCCCAAAGTGGCGACAGCCTGTAAAATAAAAATGAAACGAAAGTCGATTTTATTCGATCAGTATAAATTTTATATTCGTTAATGACACCTTTAGTTGAAGTTTTAAAGTGTTAAACATTCGATAATTTGTCACAAATGTTTGAACTGGAATAAAATATTTTATCTTATGATTACAGGAATCGTTTCGTTATTGCTAGGGAGAATGTACATAATATGTGTCTGGAAAAGCTGCGCTAGTATCGTATGCGTACGAATTTGCATACGAATACAATGAACTTACGTAGAATGGAATCAATCCTTGTTCTTTATCCTTGCGAATGGCCTCTGCCAGTGTCTCACCGCGAAGTTTATACTTCGAATCGGCTTCTAGCAATCGGAATTTTACGCCTCCGAGAAGACCGGCTCGTTCTACAGAGCTGTGAGCTTGACCTGAGCAACAAATTAATAACTGCGATAGAATATACTATCTTCATCTGCAATAAATCTAGTTATTTACTTCGTATCTAGTTTTATAACTAATTCATCGAAGGAAGCAAATATAAAGAAAGAAACAAGGAATTTGATAAATCGTCGAATGGAATGCTAAATTCTGTACGATTCCCACTCGAATTATTCTCCACTTATTATTTCCAAGTTTATTGTTAAACTGCGAGACGTTTCTCTCTCTTTCTTTTGTTTCAACACCGAATCAATGCATCCATCATTTTTTTTAACTATTCCATCTGAATACAAACAATCCAAGCGTAATTGCCACTCAAACGTTAATCCATTAGCCGAACAAAATATGCTTTAAACTTTCCAAAACAAAAGTCCTTTGCAATTTTTAATCTCGACGGTACAATAACCAATAACGACTACTTTGATCGAAGCGAATATCAATGTAAAAAGAAAAAGCATTACTACAAAAGAATGGAAATCCCATGGGATATTCGTGATATTTCTTTTTCTTCTCTGTTCACGTCATCGATGCGTAGAATAATTTAGAATGGAGAACAATTAGCGAACGCCTTTTACGAAACTTTCTACGTGCTTTGTACGTGATTCGACGTGCTAACAAAGAGACGCAGTAACAGGAGCACAGAACAGCGAAGGCGGTTAGACGTGGGTGGCAAAGGGTGGCACAGGGTTGAAGTAACTCGAGTGGTTATTACGCGTTGCTATGGTGACAAAGTGCTGGCTGATGAAGTGCCGCAACCCCGTACTCGGCTTGTCATCCCATCCCCGGCTCTCGTGCCTTTGTCAAATATTAAAGAGCACCGGCCAACGTCATCGTTAATCTTGTTTACAGGAAATCACGGTAGTGCGCGACCTCGAATTTTTATCCGGCTAATCGATGATCTAATTCCTTCGATATTATCCATCTATATTTTTCGAATATTTGACAAAAGCGTGGAATATTGACTTCACCTTTCGGAAAGGTAGAAAATTTATTTACGTGAAATTGATCGAAGTTGTTAAAGAATGGCTTCGAAAGTTCGTACCTTTGCCAGACGAGACATTAAGAATATTAAGATTAAAAGAATACGATTCTGTCATCGAAATTGATATTTTCAGCAATTTAAGCAATCTTTGTAGCAAGGTAAATAAAGGATTTTTTTTTAAATATATTTTACTCCGGTACGGGTGTAAAGTTTAATTATTTCATAAATAAGATTGGTACGTGTTAGATTAATGTCTTAACCGATACTTCTGTCAGCATCAAATAGTTTGAAACGATTACTTACAGGAACTATAAGCGATTAGTTTTTCTACAATTTGGTTATCCGTCCAGTCAGGATGTTGTTCCTTGACCTGCCTTATTTTTCTAGCCTTGGCGCCGAGAAGTGCGACTAAAGTAGCTTCGCTCGCGGTTCCCTATAATGCGAAGTTGATCATTAACTACTATTTACGAGCTGTCAATTATGCCTGAGCTACTCGTGAAGTATCGATCGATTTCGTCGAGACGACGCGACGAAGCTTAAGATTCTTGATAAGCAGCCCAACGGATGAGCAACAGGTGAATTTAACACAGGGCATTTACGTTAATTGATAATTCTTTAGGCGTAATATTCCGCAAAATTGTGTCATATACAAAATAAAGATATCCAAGTCTGCTGGCTCACCAAATTTATTATCTAGATTTTGAAAAGAATCTTGAAAGATTAAAAGTACTTATAGATTTTCATAATATGATGATAAACACATTAATTTCCCGATTTAAATCACTAAATTATCAATAGATATTTATGCGTTCGAAGGTGAAAGTTTCAAACGTACGAAATATCTAAAATATGCTACTGATTACGATATCTAGCGTGTGAAATAAATTTCTGTTTAGCTCTCACTTTCTCATCTCTGTTCATAGAAATATAAATTTGTATAAACATCCTTATCTTAGGAATGCCAGTTATTTCACTAAACGAGTTTTTTGGATAAATTTACCTGAATGACACCACCACCCTTTCCACCGCTGCAGGCTAAAAATTCTTTGGGCAGATCTAACATTTTTCCTAGCCAATCCAACATTATTACCTCCAACTCGGTACAAGCAGGACTTGCAATCTGCGACAGAGAGGTTTGTTGCATTTGAATAAACACCAGAAATTTTCTTTTTTCCATTCGAATTTCGATTAAACGAAACGTGGAAATAAAAACGATCAGAAAGGTAAATAAGAATTGAAACATTTTTCAATTAAATGTTGACCCTTACCCAAGTGAACCCGATGCATGCGATAGCACCGCTAAGCATGTCAGCAACGATCGCTGGATACGATTGGGCTGTAGGAAAATACGCGTGAAATTTCGGGCTATGCCAGTGTGTAACCTGGACGAACAAATTTTCTGCGTCAATAAAAATTTATACCAAAATTATCTAGTATTTGGGAATTAATATTATTGCGATATTCTACGCTATAGTTTTGTATCATTTGTAACGCGAACAATGATACATTATATGATTATATGTAAAAAATATCGTTTATCATATTACAGCTTGTACTTACTCCTGGCATTATCACTTTTTCGATATCTGCCATAACGTCTTTCCAACTTTCTGGCCTTTGCGGCGCCTCGGAAGGCAAAAGGGGTTTCATGTAACCTGGTTCTACTGTCGGAAGCACTCGCCTATAAATTTTACTTTATTTACAAACGCAAAGGAGAAGCTTCTAAGCTTAAATAGATCTCGATTAAGCGTCATTATCTCTAATGAAAACTATAATACACCGTGATTAGTTGAACTGAAATAAATAGTATTTGTATTTTGTTTTGTTTAAAATAACCGCAGTTAAAAAATATATAATCGATATTTTTCTTTTATATATCCCTCGGATAAACCAGATTATCATAAATTAGAATCGAAGAAATTTAAATTCAGAAAAAAATTGTACGCAGAGTATAAAATTACAGAAGGAATAATCGATTCTGATTAATTTGCAGCTAAAAAAGCAACGTTATTACAAAAGATTATGTTACGTTACTAATCAGCGAAATCAAGGCAAGTATGGTTTAAAAAAGAAATAAGGACGACGAAGCAGGATACGAAAATGAGTAAAGAAATCACCTGTCCCTGATATTTTCCAGGTAATTAGTGATATATTCTGCCATTTCCTTGGCGAACTCCTTGAACGCGTCGGGATCCATTTCCTGTACCCTGTAATGTTCCAACATTTCGCTAGTTAGTATAAACAAACTTTTATGTTGCATCAGGAACTACTTTTTAAAATCGGTGCGGATCTCTGAGTTGCCAGGTTGCAACGGTTGACAGCTCTGTGCATGCGATACGATAAGTGGCAATTGGCATGACCAACCTTCTCAATGCGGGTCTTTAGAATCGAGACAATGGAAGAGAGTGACACGTGTTTCGTCGCAGGATGGTAAGAAAGAGAGGAAGAGATTTGATCTGTTCATAATAATCAACGTGAACGGGGACAACTTGACTCGCAAAGGAATAATGACCATGAGTCATTTTCGTGAGGCAAGTTCCGTTCGATTCCTTTCCCCTTTGCAACTCACTGTACACTGCTTTGTATTACAGGGCCCGATCCTACAATATGTTTTTCACTAGCTGTTTTCGTAATATAGTATTTTCCGAGACAGTGCAATATCGAAATTACAAGATTCTGTCTTTGCTATTTCGTAATTTATGTTGCTATAAAATATACATATGTAGAAAGTGTAAACTACTTACAATGCAATGTCAATAATACTTAGGATAATCTTTCATGCTCCATGATACGTTCGACATAATGACAATCGCAGATTTAAACGCGATACCGATCTCCGAGGAAATAAAAAGGCTAAGTAGTAACGATAAAACGTGATCATCGTCGCAATACTACAGCCCAGAGACTTGACTCATTTGATCAACTTGCAAAACTATTTCTACTCCGTATTTTTCCTGGTTATCTATAAATTCTTCACGATTTCCATAAAAGACACATAATGCTATTACGTTGATGCAATTATCTGTCTCCAGTGAGATAATTGTTTACGTGCTACTGTCATATATTATCGTTAAATCAATTCATCGAATGTCTACTTCGAGACAAGTTATAAAGACTCGAAGATGATATATATATAAAAGGTATAATGCAATGGAATGATTACTTAACGATATAAATAAGAAATATCAGTATATTTCTGGAATGTTATTACTCATATTTTCGCTACAAGGTAGTTCTAAAAATCTTGCGATAGACATATAATTTGAAAAAATGTTTTAATCAACGAATAGGAAGTATTTTTGCTTCAAACTTTCAGAATGATCATTCCTGACTGTATTTTCCAATTTTAATATGACGCTATAATAATAATAATAATCGAATAGCAGGCAATAATAATCATAAAGCAAATTTTACCTATATACATGTCATAATGTTCGTTCTATTCTAATACTTGTTTCGAAATTAGTGTAACGCGCAATCAACAATTTTCCTTAACGTCTGAATTTCGACGAATCGTAATTGAAATTAATAATCCACGGCATACGAATGATGGAACTGATCGAGATTTTATTGGGAATTCTAGAAGGATAAGGAACCAGGAATCCCCTGGGTATTTCCCTGTTCGGCTGTGACGTCAAGAGGTTCACGCATCGTCTTTTGCATGTTAAGCCGAGAAATTGTATCTTTTTTTCGATTGTACTTTACAATTATAACCTTATATACGTGATAATTTTCTTTTTAAATTTAAAGTTTGATCACGAGAGAAAATGAAAAAGACAGATCGGTTTTATTTAATTATTGCCTAGATTTATAAATCAGCCGACACTCTGAAACATTTCGTACCTTTATAATATTTGGTTTAGATCAACCATGACCGATTATGGTTTCTTCAATTCCCGCGGTCGGACAAGGTCGTTGTTATTATATTCTTGTACAGAAAACAAGCTTTTACTTCTTCTTACAAGTTGCCTAACGAGAATTACCCAACTCTTCCACCTTCCAATCTCTAATTTTAATTCCAATCTCAATTTACACTGTTCAGGTGAAAGTCAACGGTTTGGTAACGACGGGACGTTTTGGATAGATTTAAATTCATAAATTTTTATTAATATGCACATGTATATTTATACACTCCACACAAGTCGAAAAACTGAAAATGGAATTGAAATTCGCATGTTTTCAATGCATATGCCATTTAAAACAAGAAATTCTTCGATATTCAGCACGTATATTTTTCGGAGTAAACTTAAAGCGTCATTTACTCTAAAGCGATTCTAAGAAAGTTTTAAAAATTCAATTATTGCCATTCGTAATCTAGTTAACGACGAATAATTAAAATTACACTTAACGGCTTGTATTTCAGGATGTCAAGAAGCATACAAGAGTTTGGTATCTGTCACTTAATTGACTCGTTAATTTAATTACAAATGTAAAGAATTGCAGAAAATGTTTTATTGTGGATCTTTTTCGTTCTACCATGTTCACAAGGAGAAATCCACTGATGTTGTCAATCTTTACGCAACGATCTCAAATAGCGTAAATTCTTTTACATTCTATGTTGCAATGCTCCACTGTATTGTTTTATATTTTCTTGTAGAAGAATAGAATCTTATGAATTTTAACGAACTGACTGTGATATAATGCAGTCAGGAAAAAATATCTTACAAACGTTCAAAAAAGTTCGTTAAAAGAATCAATAGTTGTTAGATCATAACTTTTAGAAAATATGTACAGCAGAATTCCTATTGAAATGGTTTCTTCTTGAATGCTGCAAATGATAGTGTTGTGAAATTTCTTAAAAGATACGAACCAGTACTATAATAGGCTTGAAATAAACAATGTTACGAAACGAACAACTACATTGTCAAAGTTGAAACATAACAAATTTAAAAAAAATGAGCCATTCAGAATAAAGAGATAATGGCAAGTTCAATAACTTGTCGTGTACGTAAACAGATGCCGTAACGCGCGTTTGATGATAAATTATCCAAGAATATAGTAGCTTGCAAATGATGTAGTAATTGATTTCACGTGATTTCCACTTCTGTCGCTATTTTCATTTTTATTTAAATTTAAAAAATGTTCTCTATTATTTTCAACATTTTCAATTTTTGACACATCTAGTTTTGACTACTTGAATAAATCTATAGCGTACACTGGCATGAAAACCAAAATCGAACTTTTTAAATGAAAGTTTTTTTAAATTATCGTTTATATCGATCATAATAAATACGTGTTTAAAAAAAAATCATTGTTCGAACATTTTTTAAATATTGGCTGCAAAATAACATGTTAGTCCATTCTAAACGATCTTTACAAGATTTCGAAAATATGATCAGTCAATCTCTCACAAAGTTGACGGTAGATATAGAACAACTTTTACGAGTTTTAGCAACGTGATTCTATTTCGTAATATTTCTTATTTCGGGACGATTATCGTCTGTTAAAAAGTTGCCTCGCGAGGAAAATCGTGTTATCTCAGTAACAACCGACGATTCTTCAAATTGCTCACGGCAAATTAAAACATACTTTAACATTGCACGCGGCATTCTTGACATTTAATGGCGAACGAGACTATTTTAATTGCACTGTTTACGTACATGCTAATAATTGTAATCAATCGTGTATTAATAATATTTGCTTCAGTAAGAATTCTGTTGCACTGCGTAATAATTTTTTCTAAGCACAATCAATCTACATATATATACTATTTATATCAAAATGATTTCTTATCTATCTCTCTATAAATATCGAAGTAAACGATTCAATGTTGCATATTTTACACTGAATATTATAGTTAGTTGGCTAGTCGTGATAAAGTTGAACGTGTTGACTTGAATTTCTGCTTTCATCCTGTTTACAAGAAAATATCAAATGATATTTCCAATATATCGATTTAAATTCCTGCTCTTACTTTTCACCAGAGATTTAATTGTTCTATGGAACGTAAAAATAATTACAGCATTCAAAATTATCGCGTAAAAATCTTCTAATTCATCTTTCTTCCTTTCGCTTCGAATCTAAAACACCTCTCCTCCCCTCGAAACAAATAACGCGACTGCGAATGTTTATCCATTTATGTAGCAATTGTATCCTTCAAATGTACAGAAACACAAAGAATATCCACTCATCATTGCAACATTATTGCAAGTTATAACGACAATCGATAATAATCCGGATAAATTACTCATAGCAAAATTAATAACAAATTATATTGCAATATGGATAACGCTAATGAAAAAACTGAAACGTATCTTCATGTACTCTTCAGTTCTATGCATACGAACATAAATTTCCAACATTCACAGTCTACGAATACTAATAAAAATCAAATAGCAATATACCAGGCTGAGACGTGATTGCGGTACGGGCACTTGACAGTTGACTATCCACGTGGATTCGGTTCGCGTCGAGTCAGGGGAAATCCGCGAGCTCGTTCGAGCAGCTGCACGGTCCACGAATGTCCGGATGAAATTGCCGTCTGCCGACTACGTCGTGTTGCTTTATGTACCACCCCACCAAGTACTCGCGCCGCTTGTCGGTTCCTTTCGACTGATCGCGATTACCAGCTGCGCAGGTAGATCCGCGTACTTCGTCCCTGAATTGGTGATTCGATCGATCCGGACACCAAGCCGGGGATCGATAAGTCAAGTCTACCTAGTTTGATTAGAGTTGGTGCGGCGATACGCGAAGTCAGGATTAACAACTTCGTTAATTGTTCGATGCCAGTCGAGTGATTTCTGACCGGGCCATTGTAACTGATGATTGCCGGTTGGATTGCTTCAGGATGTTGCAGTATTTTGTTACAATTTAATCGAACATCTCGTTCGTAATCGTATAATCATACTTTTCGAAGATTGAAGTTATTTTATTAAGCATTCGCCGGGGATTTCGTCGACGGAGAGTGGAATTTTCTGCGATGAGTTTTATCGAACTGACAATGAGTTTTGTACGTGAAGTGATCATCGTTGCCGTACACGTTTATTGGTTTGGTGCAAGGTTAATTTTAGAAAGCGAAGATTCGTTAGGTGGAATATTTTATTATTGGTTTTTATGTTCCATTAATCGACGCGATGGCTCTCATTAATTTTCTTATTGTCTCGACATACGTTTGTCGCTAAATCGTAGTTTGGTGTTTTGGAAAAGTTACGTGTGTAATAAGAAGATAATTTTAACCACATAAAAAGATAATTTTGGTAATATGGCACTGACTCGTAGTACATTATGACATTTTTAAATTTTCTTTCCTCAAAGATCTTCGTTCATTTTTATCACACTGATACGGATATACTAAGTTTCCTTGTAATTTGCCTATCCTTTCATGGACCGTTTAAAATTCTTATTTGTCTAATTTTCACGAATATATTTATTAAAAATAGCTTATTAAAAATATCTTACTTTCGGTTCGTTCAAAAACAGAACACATACTTAGAGATTCTCACTTTAAATACCAAACTCTATAAAATTGAATCATCAAATTTTAAAAGTATTTATAGTTCACGTACTTCCCTTTACACGCGAGTTTTCGAAAAGACGATCAAAGATCAGAACTAAAGCTGAACGAAATACATAGAACGACAAGGTATCTTAGTACGACCTAATAGCATAATAACGTTTTGAAACTCAAAGGTACCGAGGCGAATTATAACTTGATTTCAAGTTCGAAATCAAGGCGCCATTCAGACAGGAAAATTGAATTAATACTTTCAAAGTCGGCGCTGTTTCGTTGAAACGGATATCTTGTAAAATTGTGTCGCAACGTGATTTTTAGTTTTCCTCGATATGCGACAGTTATTTATTCGTAGCAGTTTCAACTTTTACGATACCTGTATCCTACGTGAAATTAGATTTTATATTATCTATTAAAACTGTTCAATTAGATTGCGAAAAGCCACGCCTAAAAGGAATTAATTAAAACGATGATTTAATAGATGAATATGTAATATAAAATGTGGAAGCTGCGGTATAATGAACACATGATTTCACACTCAAGTAAAAAAGCAAGATTATTAATGAAAAATCTGCAAATTAACAGCTAATTATGTAATGTCAAATATCAAAGCGTCCAAAAATAATAATTATCAAAATATTAATTGTAAACTAATGATATATATATATAGGTGCATAAAGATACGATTTTTAAGTGTTACATATATACAAAAATTTCTTGAATTCCTCCTTCTCTCGCAATGAAATTTATGCCAGAAAAACTTTTGCGACCAAATCAAATATAAAAATTACTTCAATTTTCCTATTTTAATCCAGTCATGATTTTCTTCGCATATTTCTTTAAAATTAATTACAAAATTAAATCAACTCATAACGAATTCACGATCAACCTAAGACAAAATTATTTTAGAGCTACTCTTGACCCAGATTGTGTAAGACGTAAAATGTGTCGACGATCAACAAGTTGTTCGAATAGGAGAAAACCTGTAGCTTCAGAATGTACATTGGATCGAGTAGCTGCTTGTCAACGAACTGTTTCCCCGAATTAGGATAATTACTACTATCTTTCATCAAACCAGGACGCTAATGAAACAGAGGTAGCTGGTTAATTTTAAAACTACGTCAATGGCATATACGGAATCGTGTCTCGTTCACTTCCATTTCTACTTCCACTGCTTTTCCCTTCCACGTATCGCGCAAAAATGTCCTCTGGAATTTCACACGAAACAGCATTGACTCATTCAGATGGAAACGGAAAATCCGAGATAAAGCGCGCGCGCCACTCCACATCCTGATGCACGTACGTATGTGTTGTGAATTACGTTCTTGACTCGATATCTGGGATATTCCGGAGGTTTTACAATATTTGTGTTTAGATTTGTGTTGAATCGAGGAAAGGATATTCCGTTATCAACCCGTACGTTTTATGGTCCGAAAATTTCATTGAAAATTGACGATGAATGGAAATCTAAGAAATTTAAATTTTCCTCCAATTTATTACACAATGGTTTCTAATTTATTACTTTCGTATTATTTTATTGTATTGTTATATTTTATATATTATTTTATTTTAACCACTACGATTCGTTGCATTTCATGTAATAATTTCGGGGCGCCTTTAAAAATATCTATTTATTATATACTTCATCTTCATTTATTGTTACTTACTTCGATATACTGCAGTTTACATAATAACTACCAAGCATACGTGATAGAGTCTGAGTCATCCTACGATAATATCAATAACATTGAGAAATTCTTCGACAGTATAGAAGCATACCTAACTGCTTGGATGGTTATAGCCTATGGTACTGCGTTACAGATCTACTTTCACATCGAGACCTTGTATTAAAACCTACCTAAGTGTATTGCTAATGTCGTTTCATGAAAATAGCAATTTATCAATAATAGCTTGATCGTTGATTAAGACGTTGAGAGAACGAAAATAAGAAATAATTAGCGAAACTGTTACGCTACGCGTGTAGCTTGACAATGTATGTAAGTTTTATTTTATATACGTATTTTGAACGTATATATTCAGAATTAGCGTTTAGTATCTCTTGGTATTATTATTTATAACATTAATATTGATAATTGTATTATTCCGTATGTGTAATTAAATATATATTTGATCAGAAGATTTCATGTTTTTTTTTTTGATTTCTTTTTGATTTTTTTTTTTAATTTATGCATAATAACTCGTATTTCCTTAATTATTTAATATCCACGCTTCCAGAAATGAATAGGTCAAAGGGTGAATTTATTTCTACTTCTCAGCAGAAACTTGCATCAGTCTTATAACATATAACGCGCAACGAAAAAGTTTTATTACAAATCAGTCATGATAGATGAATATAAGGTAATAGAAATTCACTATAACGATCCACTTTGATCGTTACCTTGACGACGTATTAATTCCCACGAAGAATAATAGATCACGAGGTTAAATCATGATCTGACGAATGGTAGAATAATGTATAAATGCGGGAAAGGAATGGCTGGGTGCTTGTTCAAAGGGATTTCTGGATGGTTGAAGGAGAAAAGAGGGTAAAGTGGCCGAGTTCTCATCGAGGGAGGACAGCAGAGAATTCTTCTTTCTCTTCTTACCAACTTTTACCCGAGCGAGCTTCCTTCTGTGCCTTCAATTTTCCCTGTTCGATTCGCCAGTCGATTCGAGTCGTCGAAAAGCTAAGAAACGAATGTACTTTTCCTCGATACACTGTGCCGTCGTCATGGCTACCATCGTCTTGGATAATCTTCTGCCTCTAAGGACATGTTCTCCGTTATATCAGGCCATTTTATTTCTCAGTTCGACAAACTCATTTCCAGCTAGTAGTTTAGTTATGCGAGAAGTACGAGCATCGACGATCGATGGCATCAATTTCGAAAATTTGTATCGATTAACGAGACCAAATAAATTTAAGCTTCTTTAAAAATCAGCTGTTTCCATGAAAATGACTTATTTTTCGTCGCATCAACAACTTAGTGTTTATTTAAAAGAATAGAAAATTACGATTACAGATTGTTACATAATTGCCAGCATTTCGAGCAATTTAGCAGCTTTCGTATTGATTTATAATCTTTTCAATTGTCCATTATACTGGATTTTATATCAAATTGCTGTCTACATAGCTCTTTTATTGCAGGATGAATTTATTGTAAATGTGGCATTGCACAATTCACAAAATGACGGGTGTCCTCTCTCAAGGATATGAAGATACATGGTTTTAATGTTCTACCTTAATTCTAGAAATTATGACTCGATTAAAGTCAATTATCAAATTATTATTTGCTTTTATCTGAAGAGATTCGTTTATTTCAGGGTAAAATTATTTCATTTTCTCTTCTAACTGCCCTTTTGGATTCCCTCGGTCAATTCTTATAGCGGAGAAAATGTCATTAACAGAGAGAAGGACCGAAGCCTGGAAAGACAATTTCCTGGTGTCTCATGGTTCACCATTTCCTTTGACTAAAGTTGTTCGTCTATTCTGTACCACAAGAATCCACGGGCTTCGAGTCATCATATTCAGCTGCCTCTTAACAGCTTTGATCATTCTACCGCTATTAATACGTCTCTGTTTGACGTTACTAATCGTTACTGTATCTCTTTCGTATAATTGGAAAAAATGTACAACATGCTTTTCGTTCAGCGATTATGCTAGAAACCAGATTAAAGAAGAGTACGTTCGTATGAAATATTTCGTACGATGGTTATGTTCAATTGAAATTAACATTAAAGCTCGATGGAAGTTAAAACGAAAATTTCAACATTTTGATTGAACATTGAAATTCACCTGAATTCAGATTGCGAGAGATAAAATATATCAAAGTAATTGGTCGAATTGTTTTGTAAATAAAGAAGGCTTTGCTTTTCAATTATTAGAATTAGAATTTATTTCAAATTAGAATTTTGAAAAATCAATATCATCGTCGTTTTTATATTTTCACTAAACTTCCATTCGAACGCATCAAGTTTAAGAAAGTCCGTTGTTAATTATGTCTCGCAAGTTTCGTTAAACAATATGTATTTAACGTTACACTTTCTGTTACTAAAATCATGTTAACATGATTAACGATTATGCTTAGGGGAGGCATGACGCGGAAGAAATGGTGTATTATTCGCAGCCATTCGTTCTCCTGCTGGCAAGAGGAAAAGCTATCGGCAAATGTAATGCATTATGCATGAGTGCGTGATATTCAAGTAAAACGGCGCCGATTCAGAAAATGAAGCCTCTTTAAGAATCACCACAGTCAAGAGTAATACTTATGAATGACTTTTTCTTTTCTGCACTTATCTTGGTAAAAACAGTGTTTGGATATTTCTTCCCACGAAATATATTATTTCTCCGTTTGGTTATTAATTCTACAATAGAACAATAGGTTCTTTCAATTGTAATTCAAATTCAAAATAAAATTAAAATTCAATTCTACGAGTATCATTATGGTGCTCGTGATTAATTACGTAGAGTATAAAAATAAAAAGAAGGAAACAAGAAAAATGTTATGATCTAGAACTGACCGTAGATTATAAGAAAATTCCTAACACAAGGAAATCCCATTAACCTGAAACGTAGACTGTGCTCTGAAGCACATCTCTAAATCCGTACTTATGTACCTACATATACAGGGTGGTTGGTAACTGGTGGTACAAGCGGAAAGGGGGTGATTCTACGCGAAAAAAGAAATCGAAAATATAGAATAACAATTTTTTTTTAATTTTTCCATCGAGACAACGATCTACAGTGAGATCCGTTATAACGAGACGCGATAAAGTGCACACGTACCGAGCAAAAATTCAAAGTCGATTTTCTCGAAAACAAAGCCTCGAACGAAAAATTGTTATTCTATATTTTCGACTTCTTTTTTCGCGTAGAATCACCCCCTTTCACCTTGAGACAACAAAATTCAACGCCTTCTCGAATTTGTTGACGTGGCGGAAAACGAGCGATGACAATTTCACGGCGATACTTTGCAACAAGAAAATTACGAACAACTTTCAGTTTAAAAGTATACTAACTTGGAACGAAGGGTTCGCGTACGTTATCATTAGAAACTCATTAGACAATTTTCAAGTCTTGTATATCTTGCAATTCTATAAATTTATGAGAATTTTTAATGTATACAGGGTGGTTGGTAACTGGTGGTACAAGCGGAAAGGGGGTGATTCTACGCGAAAAAAGAAATCGAAAATATAGAATAACAATTTTTTTTTAATTTTTCCATCGAGACAACGATCTACAGTGAGATCCGTTATAACGAGACGCGATAAAGTGCACACGTACCGAGCAAAAATTCAAAGTCGATTTTCTCGAAAACAAAGCCTCGAACGAAAAATTGTTATTCTATATTTTCGACTTCTTTTTTCGCGTAGAATCACCCCCTTTCCGCTTGTACCACCAGTTACCAACCACCCTGTATACATTAAAAATTCTCATAAATTTATAGAATTGCAAGATATACAAGACTTGAAAATTGTCTAATGAGTTTCTAATGATAACGTACGCGAACCCTTCGTTCCAAGTTAGTATACTTTTAAACTGAAAGTTGTTCGTAATTTTCTTGTTGCAAAGTATCGCCGTGAAATTGTCATCGCTCGTTTTCCGCCACGTCAACAAATTCGAGAAGGCGTTGAATTTTGTTGTCTCCGTAGAATAAATGTCATAACCTACCTCGTTGATGAGAGAAGAAATGTACGAGAATGTTAAATTGACGGTGTAGAAAATTAATTTACGAACAATTACAGTCGCTGTCTCTCCACGAGTCAAGGAGAGTTATTTGTTTAATGTTACACGTCGTTCGCATATATGTAGTTTTCCTAAAGAGATACTACGTCAAGAAGAAGGACAATACGGAGAAAATTATATTCCGCACGTTATTTCCTCATTACAGATGCATTCTTGGATTTTACGGACGACTATTTAATGGTACGTCGTCCTTTGCTCTCTGTCTTTCCCTCGTTCAATTGACTTACTTTTTGTCTTTCTTCAACAACCGCTCAATGGTGTTTTTTTATATTTCTTAAGACTTCTTTTCGCGTTTGATCGAAAAGGACGTCATTCTAGATTCTTACAAGGAAAAAGTTTCAACATAAGTCGAACATATTTGGAGAAGTTCGCTTTGAACAAAGACTTTTCTGCTTTTCCATCGATTTTCTTTACATTTCAGTTTTGGTTTTCAAACGACAAGACATCCTGAAAGATTATGGGAAATTAATACGATTTACCGTAACAACGCTATAAAGTTTATTATCAGGACATGGATACGGTGAAGGAATATCTAGGATACATCAATCCTCATTGGGTAGCGGTGGTAGTAACAGGAATGTACACTCATCTTCGACAAATTTGCATAATTGGCTTATGTTTCGACGAAGAGAGTACTCCGTTCGATCCGTCTTACGCGTCGGTGCTTTTCATATTTTCCGTATTGTGCCTCTTAGCGGAATATAGACTTTGGCCTAGAACCCTTAAAGAACCACCTATTCAACTTCTTTACATTTACGAAGTAAGTTTCGGTATTTGATGTTTTAACAAACTTAACGACGTTTTAATTACAATTTTGTACACACGTTAAGCGCGTGTTTCACGTACGAGGAGCTCAGTGGAAAAGTAGCGTAAGTTTATTGTCCCCGAAAAGAAGCTCTCTATGCGTTGCATTGTAATTGTTTTAACGTTTGAAAGAATCCACATTAGAATTTAACTTTATGCATGATTTTTTCAAACTAAAGATTTTGTTCATTTGTACTTATCATTTTCCTGCTCAACTTCTCATCTATAAATAGCGATAAAACTACATATTCGATCGTAAGATCAGTCACATTGTTTTATATCTTAGATTATAATGAAAATAATAATAACATAAAAAAGATAGTAAAGATAGTAAACAAACTTCATGAAACATTTATTTTCGTCTAGATGTTGGTTGCAGCATTGACTACAAACTTAACCACACGTGCTATCTGGGTTCCATTCATGCACGTCATCTATTGTTTAACCCAAGAATCCAGTAAATGTGTGAGTTTGTTAACATAAAAGTTATTTGTTATTAAAATTCTATGGAATTAGGCAACGTTCGAAATGTTTGTCGTATCTCTGTAATCTCCCTAGTTTATTATCGCAAAAATAAACTGCTTTTTCAGTTGCTATGGTTGAACACAGTATTGGGATTAAGTCGCTACTCGTTTTTAACTGAATTTGCATATTATATGGCGAAAGATTGTGCTGCAACGCATATGGCTTTCTGCATGTCCGTATTGTCGTTTGTTTGGATGCTGGATGCCACCGAATCCTTGGACGCGATTTTGGACACTTGGGCCAAGTAGTGAACCAGTAATGTTTAGTTTTATAAGACACTTATGTCGTAGAACGATTTAAACATAAACTTTCACAGTTAAATGACGAAATAATTATTTAGTACAGGTATTTAACTGAACTACAATTTAGAAATCCAGACAATCTAATGAATTTAAATAATTAAAATCATCGTGTACCGTACACGGTCCAGTAATTTTCTTCTTTTTTCTTTTTTATGCGATTCTTCTTTTCGTTTCTCAAATTGAAACTTTACGCGTTAAATTTCCAGGAAAAGAAGTTTCAACAGTGTACGCTATTAATCCAATCTTTATCATATTTTATTAGGAATATTATTTGTCATTGTACAATAGTTATTCTGGCTTACTAGGAGGAACGATTAATACACGTTGACACAGTTCTATAAGTTTCTTAGAATTAGTCAGAAACTCCTTAGTTTACGAAATAAAAAATTAATCAGCGCGAGTCAATTTTATTTAAATCTGCAAATATAAATGTAACACGATGTATTTCGAATACAAAGAGGAGAATTTAAAACGTGTCCCGATATCGCGTACTCGAAAGTCTACACTGTAAAGTTGTCAACAATTTTTCCGATAGGAATAACTTAATCGTAATGATCATACGTCGTTTGTACTTAGGGAAAGAACTAATGGACTATTGGCTCTCTGTAAATGTAAAAGGAAAAGGATCAGTTTCGCAAATCCAGAAGTGACAGATTGGTTTGTATATAAATTTATGTGCAGCACAGATTCCTTAAGTAAATACAAGCAACCAGACACGTAACTTATTGAATTTCGTTGTTTTGTATTCGCCTATTGTATAACTTTTTACATTTATCGATGTACGTGTATATTTCTAATAAAGTGCATTTTTTCATACTGAAATTTTAATAATTTCTCATGAATCGTACCACATATAATGCTTCTTATCCGTATTTAAAATACTCCTGATAAATTTATATCGCCATATCAAAGGTTAAACATTTTTACGATTATTACATTTATTTAAGTGGAATGAATATTTAAAGATCAAAACTGCCATCTGTTTTTTCGATTATCGAACACCGATAATCGAAAGGTGATTCGTACAATACGTCTTGTAGATTAATTTGTGAAATACGTTTTAACGGGTTCTTTTTAATAATCTATTTGAAATATTTATTTTGAGAAAGAGAACTAGAAATAGAAAATGACAAAGTTGCTTCATACCATTTGGGCGCTCTTGCTAAATATTTTCGGACTTCAGATTTTCCGAACATGTTTCGCCAATGCTATGGAAGACGAAGATTGCGAATCGCTTCTATCAGGACCACCGTTTAGTTCGGTTTTCTTCAGCATTGGTATATACGTTATTATCGTAAATTCTACACTCTTTCCACGATCTTTTCACGCACCAAAAATCGTTTTTCTGATACTGTACGAGGTTAGTGTGATAACCAATTTTTATCATTCATCCTCTCAAACAATACCTTTTGTAACAATTTTATTTACCTGCCTAACTTTTCTGTGACTCGCTTATTTTTAGTTTTTAGCCACTGCATTTATCTTGGAATTCGCATTGGCCTGTATTTGGACACCGATAGACGTCCTCTTATCGACAACGTTACCGTCCTGTATCTGTTATGTAATATTACGATTCAATATTCCATACGATATTAGGAAAAGAGTAACATCTTAGAAATGTCATAAACATAATGGTTTAAATAGGTTAAAAATAATTGAAACGAATGTACACTTTACAAAATTAGATGGATATTTACGAGAATTTATTTGATTTTTAAAAAATAGACACTTCGACGGTTTGGATTGGAAGATGCAGCGGTTTCGTTTTTAACAAATAAATCTTGGACCATCGTTCTAACTTACACCGCGTCAATTACGTTTCTTATACTTACGCTTCACGTTGTGGATGCCGTGGATTATATTATTCTCAGGTACAATTTTCATTTATAATTACGACCAAGTTAAACCGATTAAGTTCATTATATCCAATTGATCGATTTGTTCGATTCTTTGCTTCGTTTACTCGGTCTACCTTGACTTTTTAATTTCTCTGATTTTTCAAGTTTCCTTTATTTGATCTGTGTTGCGATTCCCATACATTTTTCCCACTATTTTTCTACATTTTCTTATTTCTCTAGTCTTGTTTCCGAATTGTCTGTATAATATCCTCAATTTATCCGAGTCTTCGCTAATCAGAAATATAAACCTTCTTAAATATAAGAACTCTTAAGAAATTTCTTAACGTACAATTTCCTCGCACTCCGTATAACACAGAAAATTTATTGAAGTTAGTATATAAATCTTATTTTATTGATAGTATCTCTACATATATTTCGTTGTAATTAAACTGGTTTAATATCGAAATGAAAAATCGATTAGAGCTGTTGTAGGATCGAATTGCTTTAGAACTATGAGACGATCTTTCGTCGTGTGTGGATTGTTAATAATAAAAGTAACTCGTACAACGAAATTTTCTGTTCTAATGTTTCTGTGAAAAAAGAAAGAAAGAAAAAAAGAAATGATCAGTAAATGTAGTTAAAATACAATGTTATACGTACGTAACGTCGAATGTGAGAGGATCGAGAAAAATTTGCAAAAATATAACGAATGACATATTGCTGGATTAAATATATCACTTTAAAATTGAATCTGTTTTTCTACAGAGATTATGGAATAATGTATTTCTTAACTCACGTTCGAGAGAAATTATGGGCAAGAATGGAACAAGAATTTCCATTTTTAATCGAAGAAACCAAAGCGTGCCGTTGTAAAGTTCGTAGGAGAAGCAGTAAAAGAAGTAATAGTAAAAGTGGCGTTAATAGCAGTAGATAATTTTAATAATTAATGTTTTGAACGAAGTCACTCTAAGAGAGCGAACTGTAAGAAATATTTTTAGAATTATAAAGCATATTAAACGATAAATCAATCATTCGAATATATTACGCTTATTGACGTAATTTCAACCGGTTCTTGACTCTTAACTACATCCTTTCACTCATCTTCTCGTCATACTTATCTTTCACAGTCATATCCTCTAAACTTTTTCTCTAAACACGCATTTTCGCTGATAGTAATTTATTTTCAAAATGAACAGTTAAACAGTTGCACTGAAACATCGCAACAGTTAAATATCCGTACGATATTAAATGTTTGTACATCGCTAGCTTATTTTATTTTCATTATTTTTGCACGCTATTGTACGTCTATCTTCAGAGACGACGATTTAAGCAATTTTTCGAACTTATGCACAGTATAGGAAAAACATTGTTCGAAATGAAAAACGATGTATTTCAGATGTGAAAAAAAAAAATTAAATATTTGCGAGTGCAAGTATTCGTAAAGAATATTCTTTGTGTCGAATAAATCTATTCCTTCTTCGTACTTTTTCATGCTCCATCACTGCTATTTCCTTGGAATTTATGGAATTTATCTTCTATGAGGATGATCACAAGATAACGTTAGTTAGCGATTTCTGCAAAGCAAGCTACCGAAGCGTCCTGTTTTTTCAGGACAGAAACAAAATAAAAAAAAATAAATAAAAAAGAAAGCTCCGCTCTCCAGAGGCTTAAACCCAAAAACCGCATCATACAACAAAAGATGTAAAGCGCCGACACATAATACAGCATGGTTACGTCGTATCGCCGCGTATCCGTACCTTTGCCTAACATACCATTAGAAAAATTCATGTTTATTGTGAATAATGCACTTAAAAACTGTATTTCTGGACTAAATAAACTTCTTTGTAAAAAAAAAAAAATAAAAAAGTTAGCGATTTCTGCATTCTGCATTCTGACTAGGCAAAAGAAAAATATCGAGTCGAAGGGCGCGATTTCCAAAAAAAAAAGAAAAAACTGAAGAAAATTTATCTAGGGATTTATCTAGATTTGTATTGTTTAAAATACGACGGTTGGTTTATTTTTATGAAAAAGAAGGCATTTATTTCATTCCAACTGAAATGCAAAGTACAAATGGTATAGATAATATAGTGATAATAATGTAATAATTAATCGTTAATAAATATCAATTCAATTAATAATACGGTGTGTACCAGTATACTGTGGAATACTATATATACGGTAATTGTACTACACGGGATGTGTTCAGTGGCAGCGTTACAATCATTTTGTCACCGAAGTGTATATATTACAATGATTTATCCATTATCGCTGACCGACGATAATAAGTCGGCTCCTCGATTGTGCTTTTACATTTTCCTCGATATACTTTCTTTTTTCTTTTCTGTTTCTCGTGTCGCGCCACACTGATTCTTCGTTTTTATAAATTATCGAGATTTCTTCGGGAGGAAGGTCGCAGTGGGGTGGAGCGGTGACCAAGACAATGTGAAAAAGTACTTGCTTGCTCGATGTCCAGAAATATTTTTGTTGGATGCAATGCGACGTTAATTTGATCCTTTGTAATATGAAATCAGGGTAATACAATATTATCGAGTATATTAAATATTACAATATCGAAGAAAAATCGTATTTAAATGAATTGTAACATTAAGAGCAAGTTATATAGGCAAAAGCATGTATCTCGGATCTGAAGGGAATTTTGAAATAAAAATTAACATATTAATCGAAATATTATTAATCTATTAATAAAAAAATGTTAGGATATATTAATTAAAAATATTCTAATTCTTTGACTAGAATTACTTTCAAAGTTATTGTAACTAGATACTCTAAAAAAAGAGAAGACGGTATCGATATTCAAATTCTTGACTTCATATCGAATAGGAAGGAAAAGATACATCAAGTACGCATATGCAACCGAATATTCCCATCCTCGTGAGCAATGTTTCGTTTTTCGACGTTTTTCGCAGACGTGTTTCACTCGGTCGCCATCGCAAATACAAACTGCGTTCGTTGAAAAGCGTTCCGACGACCACAAACGAACAAAGACAGCTAGAAAGAATTCCGAACCCGGAAGAAAAAGTTTCTGTCGTCGCTGAGCATTCGATCAAAGCGGACTAGTGCCGTTGTAGATATTATCTTTGCGTCGTTCCGTTTCAATCTCAATTAGTTTGAGATCGAGGCATGAGCTGCTTCGGTTCTTTGTGCACGGTTAGGCAGTGCTTGGAAAAAAGTTTTACAGATATGTAACGTGAGTTCGCGTGGCTGCCATTTTTTTCACGTTTTCTCTTCTTGTACAGATTATTCGCCTCGATCGGAAAACTCGATACCTACGTTCGTCATTTTCCGATCTCAACATTTTGAGATCTTCTCAAACGTAAGTACGCTTCGCTCTTTCTTTTTCGATTTTTCTTTTTTTTTTTTTTCATTCTCGTTTACTCTTAAATACATTTCGACGTTCTTGTTCGCGTGCTAACTCGGTTTCGGTAAAAAAGTTGAGCCGTGTGTGCCTCAAATGGTACCTTAACTTAATATCGTTCGATCGACGCTGACCTTTGGGTCGTTCAAGCAATTCGACGGCTGTAAAGTTTATCATTTTCGAAATACATGAAATCTGGTGTATAATACAAACGATATTGCTTGAAAAGTAAATCGATCCTGAGAACGCTGTCGTCTTGTCAGGAGTATCCTTTTTTCTCTCTTTCTTTCGTATAAAAGATATGCTGATTCGATGAAATTAAATTCGTTTCGTACAATGAATTGTATTCTATGATCAGTGCATTGGTTAATACATACGTCGTGACGTTAAAAATAGAAATGACACAAGTGTTGGTAATTATCGCGTACATAAAGAAACGTTAAATATTCACAATTATTCTACAAAATTTACAGATTTCCTTTTTCTAGACTCACTTACTCGACATTCGTGACACGCTTCGAACATTTACAATGTATTAAGAAATCCGTTATTGCTATTATTCAAAA